TAAAATCTTGGCTGATTACCTAAAAACTTAGAGGGTTAAAGCACAGTAAGGGCAAAGGTAAAAAAAAAAGATAAAGACATAAAGCACTAAAGATAACTACAAGTAGGTTAAAATGTATATAGAAAGGAAGAGGAGGGTGCCAAAAGCTGACTGTTTCAAAAGTCTGCCTAGGGTCAACCCCAGACCCTGAAAGATAATACTTTTTTCTCCTAGGACCAAGGGTGGCTCAGTCCTAACACTAAAAATTTAGCAATATGAATATTTATGAAATCACAGAATGAATTAAATAGCCTTGTATGCATTGGCTTGAGAAACTCTATCTACATAGCATATACTCTTCCTTCAGGAAAATACAGCTTAAATTACAAGTAATCCATTTACGGATGCTTGGAATACAACTCTCAGTAGTTGGCCTGAATAAAATGATTCCATTTATTTCATGATTACCATAATCAATGTTTCCACAATATCCTGCAAAATTGCAGAATTTTATAACAACTGCATAAGTGAACTGTGCCAAAGGATCAATGATAAGTAGCTGACTGAAGTCTAGATTTTGCATCTTGCCCAGCATGTTTGGCTACCATCAAGCAATGCTGGCAGAATTGCTTAAGAAACTAATATTCTGACTATTATAAACTAATAGTTATATAAATGACTATTTTTCTTCCTTGCATTTTGGGCATGATAATGTGGAAGACTACAAGCTACCTCTTAGGCTATATTCTATGACTGCTCTTATTCTGGATCTCTGAATTCTTCACACAGAGAAGAGCAGTAGTAGTTGCTATAGCTATTAGTTAGCCTGGCAACTTTACACATGTGACCAGAGTGACCAACTTGTCTTCAAACTTTAGGTCACCAGAAAAATCTAGTAAAAAGTCAAAACAAAAGACAAAAAACCCATTTACCTGAAATAAGTCTCTCAACAGTTGAAACCTGCTTGATAAGAGTGTTTTTGTCCTGGCATTGCAATCCATACAGGCAAAGAAAAAAACCAATATGTGATGCAGCTAAAATTATATTATAGGTCTCAAATTATACATAATTCATAGAGAATAGATGTTAGGAACAGGCAAAAATAATGTTGGCAAAGTCAGAAAAAGAGTAAGTATATAACATGAACACTAGAAAAATAATCAGCTCACCAGCACATCCCTCATTAGGGCAGATACTCACTGCAGCTGTCCCTCTTCCCACCTGTGTATGTCTATCCAGGTTCCTATGGAGTCTGAACTAGTTACTTTACCACAGAATACATTTCTCTAAAGCAACTGCAGAATTTGTAGGTACTCCAAATCAAATCAATCCTAGTTGACTTCAAAATTATAGAATTCATTCTGTTTTCATAAAAATGAAAAGCTCTAAGAAAGCTATACAGCTTCCTTTTGTCTTTAAAAAATAAAAACCAATTTATGATTTACTGTAGAAAACATACATTATAGGAAGAATTAGTACCTTTATTTTTTTGAGACAAAGCCTTGCTCTGTTGCCCAGGCTGAATGCAGTGACTGATCTCGGCTTGCTGCAACCTCTACCTCCCAAGTTCAAGAGATCTTCCGGCCTCAGCCTCTCAAGTACCTGGGACTGCAGGTGCATGCCACCACACCTGGCTACTTTTTTGTATTTTTAGTACAGACAGAATTTCACTATGTTGGTTAGGCTGGTCTTGAACTCCTGATTTCAAGTGATCTGCCCACCTCGGCCTCCCAAAGTGTTAGGATTACAGAAAGTAATCCTAGTATCTTTAAAAATGGTAAAACCCATAGTTTGGGCTTTACATAGAGAAGAAATAAGTCAGAAACTAGCCTACAGTTCGAAGGACATAACATATATTCCAGAAATTTTACAATTTCTGGACAACTCCCTCCTTTATACTTTTAGTATATTATTTGTTTACATTCCTATTACTCCCTATTAGACTGTCACATCTTATTCATCTGTTTCTCCACTCTCTAGTACAATAGCTGACATACAATAATGCTCAACAAGTGTTCCTTAAATAAAAAAGTATAGCCTCCGTTGAAATACATAAACCTCAACTCCAAATTCTAAAATACACGTGTGCATACTTACATATATGAAAGGGATAGGTGCTATTTTAATTTTCTCTTTACAAAGATGGTATGTGATTTTTTGAGAGCTAGAAACCTTGTATTGCATAACAGGGCTACACAGTTTTCCCGGGAGTAGTAACATAAAGTTGATCTTAATCACAAAGTAATGCCTCTCAGCAAAATATGGTAGATATTATGAAACTGATGTCATGGGGCTTTAATTCTCAAACTAAGGTGATCTTGTAGAAAACACAGAAATGTCTCAAATAATTATGAAACCCATTCTATATTTACAAGTTCTAAAGAGATTTTTAAGAAATCACTATTAAGCAACATTAATCACCAGTTATTGACTGTTTATCATGTGCCAAAAGTTGTGCTAAGCATTTTGCTATATCTCATGCAACCCCAATAATGATATGAGGTAGGTGTTATTACCCTATTTTACTAAGAAATATTTTTTAACTATTAGGAAAAAAACCCTAGCTTTAGCGATGATCTGAACCAATGTTCTAATTTTACATATTAAACCAAAAAAAAAAAAAAAACAACCAAGAGGATGAGCATAGTGTTATGGAGGCAGATATCTGGTATGGAAGGACAAAAGGACATATAGGAAAATATACAAACAAAGGCAAATCTTAGGGAAAGGTCTAACCTGTCTAAGAAATGGTCAGAATTCATACTACTGGAAAATTGACACAAGCTAGGCCAGAGAAGGAGATTTTGACTAAGCTGTGGAAGAAAACAATAATCATTTTTTCCTGAAGGCATTTAGGGAAACTAACAGGTGATAATAAAGGCGACTATTTTTATAGCAGCAGCTACCATTCATTAAATCCTTGAGAATTAATGCAGGTTTTATGTCCAAAACTTCACAGGATTCAAATGCATTTCTATGGTCCCAAAGCCAGTGCTACTCTTAACTTCTATGTTATGTCTCCTGCAAAAGACTCTGGCAGGACAGTGAAATGATTATACCTTCTCATAATATGATAGATTGTACATCTTTAGGAAAAACAGCTATTAAATATTAAAGAGCATACACTGAAACTTATGATGTAAGTGAAGACCTATGAGCTCCAGAAACCAGTATTCACTGAGAGGCCCTGAAGGCAATCTTACAACCAGTTAACCAAAATGGAACTCATCTATCATCATCTCAATACATTTTATATTTGGTTCAGCATCTCTCATTTATCCACAGTATTAAAACAGAACTCCAGAATTAATTGTCTAGTTGTACTATTACCATTATTTCTACATTTCTACCCCGGTTATGAGAGTTAAGTAGCAAAAGTGGCCACCCTGAACTGTACTTATCCTTTCTACTGGTATAACAAAAAATATGAGTTTGGAATCAAGACAGACTGGTTTCTCTGTTTACCACCTATACAACCTAAAACAAGTTACTATTGATAAATAATAGTAACATTTCCATTTACCTTCCAAACAAACACTCCTACCGGAAGCAAGATGTTTTGTTTTATTGTGAAACATCCACATTAAAAGGCTGTGAGGAAGTGATTGAAAGTATCTGCTCTCACAGGACGCTTTAGTGAAATGAAAGTTTTGTAGTCTGACATTTTAAGAAATGGAGACTTCCCACATGAAGCCAAGAGATACCTGAGGTACTACATTCAGTATACCCTCAATGAAGAAAAGTGGTCCCCAAGGCCTTCAATAATGAAATAGTCAACAAGAAAGGGGAGAACTCTTTAGATCTACCCACATATAAAAGAAAAGGACAAAGTCTAAAGTAGCTTCCACTTACCATCTCAGAAGAGTTAGGTATAATGATAAGTAAAAGAAGTCAGACACAAAGAATATATACCATACTCTTCAATTTCTATGAAATCTAGTAAGTGGGGAAACTATAGTGATGGAAGTCAGTGCAGTGGTTACTTTCAGGTGGAGAGGGGAAGCATAGTATTTGGGAAAAGGCCCAAGGGAGCCTTGTGGGGTAATAAAAATCTTCTATATCTATACTGGACCTAGGGAGTGATTTCATGAGCATACATGTATGTAAAAATTTACTTGGCTGAGCACTTACGATCTGGCCATTTTGCATATAACAATACATCAATCATAGGGGGTAGGGGTCACTTCAGAACAAGGACCATAAAACTCCTGCAAGGTTTTATAAACCGTACCTTTTCATGGTTTTACATTTTTGTTGCCATTGACCTATTTCTCTATGGCGACAAGAAGTAAATGTGTTATAAAAATAAGATCAGTGTTTCTTTGCCCAGCTTCTGCCTTCCTAGCTACTTACAGTCTACAAGGCCTTCTATAGCTAGGTCTTAGGGGGCTAGAAACACAAAGAATACAGGGAGTGTTGGTAGACAAGTGGAGGTGGACACAAGGAAAGAAGAACATGGAGAGACAGTTTGGGCTTGATAGGCAATAAGAATCCCAGAGTTTCTCAACAGTTAATAATTTATCTACATACCATAATATAATCCGTGATGTCCTGTATGTACAAGGACATCAGGGTTGTAACCAAGCTTTAATACACTTGGTTAAAAATATACTCATTTTTTTTCCAACATAATTTTTAGAAATTATTTCCTCGCAAATCAATCTGATTATAAAATCTAACTTTAAGCCTGAGAAACATAAACTCTACCATAGCCATCATCCGCTCTGGCCAATATCAAGAAAAGACCTATGTATTATATCAGGTTGTACACACTCCATTTTGTGGCTTTCATTAGCTGTTAGAACCATGCGCTGTGCTTCTCTGACACATTTATGGAAGATGTTTGTTAGAGTCACAAAGAAGGGGGTATGTGAAACCAATGAACAAAGAAACCTAGATTAACCAATCTTTGACAGTGTCACCATTCAACAAAAGAAAAAAAAAATGATGTAATGGTCTAAGACAAAGTATAATGAGCAAGGCCCATAACAAACCCGCTAAGTGGATGATTCCATTCTTACCTTTATCGCGATCATAGAGCAAATCTTCTGTTGAGCAAGGGCTACCATCCTGGGATTCCGGGGGACAAAAGGGGGAGACACAGGGTGAATGACTGCTGCAGCTACTGCTGCGCTCCTGGACAGAAGGAGTCTGAGTGTCAATGCTGCGAGTACTACTGCTCCGGTAATAAGCAGGGAGTGGAGCTCTTCGACCATCTGGTATGTCCAACGGCTGTTAAGAGGAATACCATTAAACATCTGAATGCTGGTGCATACACTCTGTCTACACAGAAAGTATGTAGTATTTCTGTTGATTTCATATTCCACCACTACTGACCCAATTTATTCTTCAAAGGCTAAAGACCAAGCTTGCGTCTTAAGCTAATTTCTGCATGTTACCTTTATTGAGCTAAAAATTTCTTTCAAATCAAATTGTTGCCTTAAAAATTCCATAGCTCACTGTATGTACCTGTAGGTCAGCACATCCCATAATACTCCTCAAGGACAGCAGGAGTTTAACACCGTATCCCTAATGCCTGGCACATGGCAGATATTTACTACACATTTGCTGAACAAATTAACTGAATTGCTAAAAAAAATTTCACTTTGACATGCTTGTAAGAAAAAGTGAAATCTCATATTCACAGGTACACATTTTTCTGTTTGTTCATTCCTTTCAATTTTTTAAAGGCTATGAACAGAACCATCGTTTCTATTTCCTTTTCAAATTATCCAAAATTTCTAATAAAGAGATTTATTCTATTACTACTCAATAGAGGTTATTAACATAACTCAGAAGAATTCTAATATTAGAATAATTCGAATATCAAATTCTACTAATTTGGTATCCAACTAAGTAGGACTACTCAAAATTTTCCTTAGTTTGAATACATTATTCTTAGTAGCAAAAAGAAGAAATAGGAAACCATAATCACAGGGCCATATATTTTGGTCTTGAGGGCACCTCAGAGCTCAATTAGTCTAGTGTTTTCTTTTCACAAATGAGGAACCTATAGTTCAGAGCTCCTAGTGACACAGCTAATTAGGTGGCTTCAGAGATGCTGCTGTAGTGGACTTTTTCTACTCTACTATTCTGATTCTACTGTAAAAATAGATCTTACTCCATATTCTTCATTTGTGTGCTAACAAAATAAGGTTAACAAGTAAAAGTCTCTATATTAAATTATTAAACACACACGATTGCAATGCTAGGGAAAATAACCAATGTACTGTTATTTGTATTTTCACTATTGTGTCTACTGCCCTTACTCTGATCATTGTCATTTCAGAGATTTTAGAAACACTGTCAAGAGGGGAAATGAAGGAAGGTAAAATCAGGTCAGATTCAAAATGTATCAATATTTTCTAGACCAAACGAGTGAAGGCTGACACTATGCAAATGAAAACATCATTTAGAGTTCTGCCCCTGCTGTCCTTGGAATGGAGAAGAAACAAAGAGGCTGAAGGCTTTACTTGCACTGCTAGCATGACATAGTCACCATACAGAGAGGAGCCCAGTCTCTTCCCTGTGAGCCCTCAGCACCCCACCCTTCACCCAGTGGGGCTCCCAGCTCAGGCCAGCAGCACAGCTGCCCCACCCCTGGCTGAATATCCCAGGAGCAGCGGATCTGTGTATCTGAAGTGTAGCTCCCAGAGGCAACTGAAAGCCCCTCTGCCACTGCAGTGGTACTACCCTTGCTACCCTTGGATTAGGAAAAGAGCAAAGACCCTGAATGCTTTAACCATACCTTCAGCAAGCTGCCACTGTCCTGAGAAGAGGTCAGTCTGTCTCCCAGAGGAACTCCCCCCGTCCCAGCTTGGGCCCACAACACAGCTGTCCTACCCCAAGCCAATCACACTGGCCACAGTTTTGCACTTCTCTGGGGTGGAGCCCCTAGAGACAAGTGACCCCCTGCCACAGCCACTGCCAAGGTCCCTTCCCGTACTGCCTCCAAGTTGGGAGAGAACATAAAGCCTTAGCTCACCCCAGAGCTGCAGTGTGCAGCCTGGGAGTGCCAAACCAAGATCTGCAACCAGCACTTGGGTGGGAGAGGAGCCCACACTTGCAGAGCACTGAGGTGGAGCACAGCTGCAATGTGCAATGGTGAGGAAATACAGAGGAGTCACGTGGCTGAGCAAGAGTTTACCTACTGGCCATTATACTTAAGAGCCATCTATTGATCAGAGCGCAAACTTCAATACCAAAAATACTTTGCTAATAAGCCCTCCTGTGAAACAAAAGACAATAACTCAGCTACAAATAAAGACCCTGCACAATGCCTTAGCCTCTGAAAACATCCAGAGAAGTCAAGCGACTGTACAAATTATACCATGGAGGATACATCAGCCCACAAAGATGAGAAAGAACCAGTGCAAGAACTCTGGCAACTCAGAAAGCCACAGTGTCTTCTTCCCTCCCAATAACCAGATTAGTTCCCCAACAAAGGTTCTTAAGTAGGAATGGCTGAAATGACAGAAAGATAGAATTCAGAATATAGGAATGAAGATCAAGATTCAAGAGAAAGCCAAAACCCAAACCATGAAATCTAATGATTGATAAAATAATACAGGAGCTGATTGATGAAATGGCCATTGTAAGAAGGAAACCAACTGATTTGAGATCAAAAAAGAGATTACAAAACTTTCATAATGCAATCCCAAGTATTAACAGCAAAATAGACCAACCTGAGGAAAGAATCGCAGACTCTGAAGACTGGTTCTCTGAACTTAGGTGGACAAAAAAATTTTTTTTCTTTTTTATTTGAGACAGAGTTTTGCTCTTGTTGCCCAGGCTGGAGTGCAATGGTGCGATCGTGGCTCACTCTGCCTCTTGGGTTCAAGAGATTCTCCTGCCTCAGCCTCCTGAGTGGCTAGGGTTATAGGTACCTGCTACCATGTTAGTAGAGACACATTTTCATCATGTTGGCCAGGCTGGTGTTGAACTCCTGACCTCAGGTGATCCACCTGCCTTGGCCTCCTAAAGTGCGGGGATTACCGGCGTGAGCCACCATGCCTGGCTGAAATTTTTTAAAAAGAATAAAAACAACAGACAAGGCCTCTGAGAAATACTGTACTACGTAAAGAGACTAAATCCATGATGCACTGGCATCCCTAAAAGCGATGAGGAGAATGCAAGCAACTTAGAAACCGTATTTCAGGAGACTGTCCAAGAAAACTTCTCCAACCTCAGTAAAGAGGCCAACATTCAAATTCAGGAAATTCAGAGAACTCCTGCAAAATACACAAGAAGACCATCCCCAAGACACAAAATCTTCAGATTCTCCAAGGTTGGAATGAAAGAAAAATAGAATAGGTAGGTCACCTACGAAGGGAACTCCATGAGGCCAAAGCAGACCTTTCGGCAGAAACCCTGCAAGCCAAAAGAGATTGGGAGCCTATGTTCAGCATTATGAAAGAAAAAATTTCCAAGCAAGAAGTGCATATCCAGTCAAACTGAGCTACATAGGGCGAAGGATAAATAAGATCCTTTTCAGACAAGTAAATTGTAAAGCAATTTATTACTTCCAGACCTGCCTTACAAGAGGTCCTGAAAGGAGTGCTAAATCTGAAAAGGAAAGGTTATCAGCCACTACAAAAACACACTTAAGTACACAGAATAGTGACACTATAAAGCAACCACACAATTGAGTCTACATAATAACTAGCTAACAACACAATTAAGGGTCAAATCCATACATATCAATATTAACCTTGAATGTAAATGGGTTGAATATCCCAATTAAAAGGTACAGACTGGGCCGGGCG